GTGTTGAAGGCACTGGAGAAATCAAAGAACATGAACATTTCTTAAATCTCCAAAAAATTATCATCATATTTCTACATCACCTTCTTCTTTTGTCTTCCAGGGTATCGGTGCTGCCTGGAGGCGGGACTACAGCACATCAGTTCTCAGGATTCCCCCGTGTTCTCTTCCTGGCATGGCGACGTTTGTCAGTACAACCAAGCCCAACTTCAAGGTGACGAGCACACGAGACCCTTCCCCGCTCATCAGCTACCACACCGATGGCTGGACGCCGACGTACAACCAGAACTCTCTCGTGTCCACGCCAGGCACTCACACACATGAAGTGCGCGCGAGTGTCATTATGAAAACCTCTGACATCACTTCCTCTTGACCTAACACGTGGGAGTAGCATCACTGCATCCAGTCCATATGAAAGACAGAAAATGTTTGTTTTCTCCGTCAGAGCCATGTGGGGCCTAAAAAGGGACAAACCTCCAAAAATTAGATTTTTCCTAATATCTGTCTGGGCCAACATTTTCTCTGTTTTCTTTCCTTTCATTTGAGGAAATCATTGACTTGTGCACAAAGTGATGAGCACTTAAGGTCACTTTCTACTTCCTGCACGTCTTCCTGATGTAAAAATTAACTTCAATGTGTGGAGGACTTGCAGACCTATGTGCAGTATCAAATTTAGGAGCAAGTGCACCGTAGCATACCACTGCAAAACACCATGTGCTCAGCCATGGACACTGTGTGTCGCTGGTTGATGGTTTTCCCCGCTGCTTCGTGGTAACACTTGAGTAAACGCCAGTGAAGGAATTTCACTACTTTTACCTTTGAAAGCAAAATCAGCTTTTACTTCTCAGAAGTTTTTCAAGATTTTATTGTGTATATGAATAGGTTTGTTCTTTGTTTAAAGTCCGTTAACTCCAAGAGAGTGGAGCTGGTGTTTGAGGGCAGGATGCCTGCCAAGCACGAAGCAAAAAGCAAAAATGGTAAATAAATAAATAAAAATTAAAAAAGCTAAAATATGTAGCCAAATGGGCGCCATGCCCAAGTAAAGTCTTTATGTTTGCATCATCTTATTCATCCGCTGTGTTGTGATTTTAAGATGTGCACAGTTTCCAGTCAACAGTCATTATCATGTCCTTATCTTACACAGTGTGAGCTCAAGTGTTGCCGTGAAAGGCTCTGCTGGGGACACATGGTTAGACCACTTGTGTTCATAAGCAGTGACTCAAAAATTCTTCTGTTTTGGCGAAGCAGGC